TCATGCAGCTGCTGTTATATGGAACGGGTTGATATCTTCGTGTATCTTCTCGTTATACAAAGGGAAAACATGGAATTCGAATGAAGGTATTTCGTAACTGAAATAGGACATTTCTCAATTTCTCATTTCTCGATATCCTTTTCTATAAAATTAATGAATATCATTATTGTCTTCAACGATAATAGCTGGAACACATTGTGTAATTGTTGACCAGTAGCAACAATATTGATGAATAATTCTAGTAGTGACTTATCCTATCAAAATAAAATATAATGATGGCTCAAAGAGCATTATTCATCAGGAGAAAAGAAATCAAGATTGAGACTTCAGCGGCCTCTAGCGCCAAAACTAGCCATTAGAACGGTTTGGTATTCGGACATTTTGTTCAGAATGTCTTGAACTATAACATATCGAAAATCCAGCCAATTCAACAGGGAGCCAATTATCCCTATGAAACGTGCGGTGTCCTTTCACAGAGATTTACTGGCCATCAAGTGACAAAAGTGCAGAGGATTATAATAATTATGATAATAACAATGCGAGACATACTGGAATTGGAATACATGTCAACTGATATCTCTATATTATGATACTTCTCACTGAATCACTTATGTATAAAACAACGATTTATTCTAGTCATTACAAATAACTTCTTGTTGCTTGCAGGTGTGATTTTTAGAGAGATGGTGAAATTTTGAACATCATAACGATAAATAAGCAGCTTATTCTTCTCAGGTCACATACCATTCGATAACGTGCAAACATTGATGTTCCATCACAGCACTGATTAGTTTCTAGTTCCTAGGTACTAAATTTCAAAAAGCTCTGATAAATCGAGCTATATTATCATTGCATAAGCATTATTTATTTATTTATCTATTTATTCATTCATTCCAATGAGGTCAAAATACATGACATGTGAATAAGTAAAAAAATACTAAACTAGACAGAACGAAGAGCAATTACAATTACAATTTGCACACTTAATATTTACATAATGTGAACAGCATAACACATACTTAGTATATACATAACAGTGATATTTACATGTACTCATTATTTTGAAAATTATTGGTATCGAAATATTCGTCCAATGAGTATAATGAGTGCTGAAGTAGTAATCTTTCAGTTTCAATTTTGAATTTTTTTTTCTTTTGTTTTTTCAAATCCATTTATTCTATTCCATGACAATATGCGTAGTGTATACAATTTTTTTTTGTTGGTTTGAGTTTATTATAATATATACATGTGTAAGTATATTTCATATTATATATATGTTTTGATTTTGAGGCTTCGTAAGAAGTGGAGTGACCTAGGCACTAGTCCGCCTGTATTGTCGACTATCCTCCTCTTGAGAAGCCAGAAAAAAAACTTGATACCACTATAAAAAAATGAACAAGATTATTTTTTTTACATGTCAAAATGTGACGTTTTCCTTGTTTCAACCAATATCAATGCGTGATTCTAGCCAATCATTCGGAATCATACTGATAATTTGTTAGTATCAAATTACCGCGATGACTTATTCACGTTTGGATCTTCCTTCAAATGGATACAAAAAGGGACCCATAGACTGCGATGTTGATAGGCTGTTTTGTTCGACTAACAAGTCTGTTCGAACAAAAATTGCGCACAACCGAAGTGTGTGGCTGTAAAATGTTCGTTTTCGCTGGCCACACACTTTAGTTTTGTGTCTTTTTTGTTCGAACAGACTTGTTCGACGAACAAAACGGCCTACCAACAACGCAGTCTATGGGGCACCTTTAGAGAATTAGCATTGACTTGACTTGGTTGTCAAGGTAACGCAGCTATTTGTCTCAATGTAAACATTTCGAATTCAGAACCGACGCCATTGTTAAGTATCAGTCAGACTTCGTATTTTGTGATTTTCTCTAACGTTTAAACGAGTTGGTATAGGTTCGGAAAAACTTTACAATTATTATTAGTCATTAACAGAAACCGACATGAGCACGAGATTTGGTCAAAGCTCGGCTGATTCAATACATTTAGCTGTCGAACAAGCAACACCAATCAACACCACAAAAAGCAAGAATACGATATGGAAACAGTTTTTGGAGTTCTGCCTTGAACGTAATTATGAGTTGACTGCAACAACCGAGATGAAACAAATCGCATCAATTATGGAGGACTGGGCATATAACATGCGAAAAAAAAATGGAGAAAACTACAAAGAATCTGTTGTCAAAACTTTGTGGAATGTCACCGCAAAACTTATCCAGGAAAAATATTTCAGGGAGTATAATAGAAACATTGATCCGTTCACTGATATTGAATTTAAGACCGCGCGAGATGCGCGGAATTGCAAACGTCGAGAACTTCAACATATTCCTGAAAAAAGAAAAGCATCTTCTGTTGCTCTCAAGAAAGAAGAAATAGAAAAAATGATAGCAGCATGGGACGAAAATACTCCAAATGGCTTACAAAGGAAGTTTTATCATACTGCTAGCTACGAATTGGCTTGGAGAGGCGGAGAAGCGACAAAAGCATTAGTACAGTATTTTAGAGAAGAAATGGATCATTATGGAAATCAAACTGGAAGGATAGAATATAATCCAATAATTTCTAAAACAGCACAAGGAGGATCGCACAGGTTATCTGATAGCAAATTTTTAACGCCAAATGAAAATGAGACTGAAAAATGTCCAGTACGTCTCTTTCGGAAGTTAATGTCGAAAAGAAGTGCAAATATTCAAATTGATCGTTTATTTTTAACACCTAATCCAAATTGGCAGCAACCTTTGTCTAAGGGGTGGTACAAAAATCTTCCGGTAGGACAAAATGAAATAGCAAAATGGACAAAACAAGCGGCCCGAAAGATTGGCTTGGATCCTAGCAAAATCAAGGTTACAAACCATTCACATCGTTCTTCTGCTGTGACACAACTCGCTAAAAGTGGAGTAAGTGAGCAGCAGTTGTTGAAGATAACTGGACATTCATCTGCAAGCTCCATCAAACCCTATCTTCAACTTGACAAAGAGCATCACGCAAGCATGATAAACAACTTGAGAGGAAACACTGTTTCGACCTCTTCATCTCAAGGAAATTGTACAATAACATACAATAATTGCACCATTACAAACGTAAATTGTAAACATTCTTGATTGTTTGATATATAATTATTTGATATATAATTGTTTGATATATAATTGTTTGATATATAATTGTTTGATATATAATTGTATGATAAATGATTGTTCAATAAATAATTGTTTAATAAACATATTCTGGGGCATTTTGCGAAATAGTAAAAAAAATAATCACGCCGAATTACATTCGTGTTGGTTATTTTTTTAAATAATTTTAACTAGATTTAGCACTCGTCTTTGTTGCTATTGAGAAATCCCACTCGTGGACTTCGTCCACTCGTGAAATTTCTATAGCAACAAAGATTCGTGCATCTAGTTAAAATTATCAAAAAATTACCACCACTTGTGTAATTACTGTTGAAAATTAACTTAAAGCTATATGAAGCTAACAATCATACTAGGGGTGAAGTGAGATGGTCAAGATGAGAATATAGAGCTATTTCGAGAAAATAATTTTTTTTTCGGGGTTAGGGGAAGGTTCGAATGGTTTTTGAGAGTGGATGTATTTGAGGATTTTCATGACTTGAAAATTTCGTACTTTTCGAAGTTTTCCAGAATATTTTTTTTATTTCAGTTTTTAATTTATACGTTTTAGTAATTTGTTTGATATGTAATGGTAGTAAGTTATATAGTTTTGGTCCATAATAGTGAAATGATTTCTGTGTCAAGGTTTTATCGAAGAAATCAATGAGCACATTCCAATTAGTTGCGGCTCTGGTGTTCGAATTTTTTCTTTGGAATGAGTCTCCTTTATAATAAACTCGGAGAAGGCATTGGTAAGTGTATATTTGTCTGACTGTGAATAATTGGGTCTCTTTGTAAAAAATGCTTTCATAATTTTTACATCAGGTACATCTCTCAGAACCTTAGGTAAGTGATTATATACTTTCAAGGGCATTACAGCACAACTTTCTGCCGTTAAGGTGAGTCTATGATAGGGTAGTCTAATCATCGACTTGTCTCTCATACTGTAACTGACAATATCACCAGATGCATTGTATTTAGAAATATTCTTTTCAACAAAAGTTACACATTTGAAAATGAAAAGTGAAATGACCGTTAGAATGCCAAGATCCTTAAATGAGTTTTTGCAAGAGTACCTCCGTTCTTTGAACGTCATTGTTCTCAATATTTTTTTCTGTAAAATTGAGAGAGATTCAATTTCTTTTGAGTTTTCCCAAATGGTTATTGCATAGGACAATGTAGAATTGACATATGAGTGATAATAGACCATCAGAATATTTCTATCTACAAAACTCCTCAGTCTCCATAAAACAAAACAATGAGATGACATTTTTTTGGCCACATTAGATTTTTTTATGCATACTGCACACATTTCACAAATTATTCCTTTTTATCCTTTGTATGTTTCACAAACCTGATAAAAAAGTGGATTTTGACAGGAATTCAGGAAAAATCTCTAATATCAGAATAGGAAGTGCATGAATGCCCTAATTCAATATAGATATAGATCATTGGCATACTGAAGATATTGTCGATTGTAGCGATTTTTGCATAGTTTTCCAATGAACAGAAATGGTTGATGCCATACTCGATTTGATATAGTTTCGGCAATTCTCGTTGTTTTGCATAGTATATAGTGTTGCCAAAAAAGTGTATTCTAGTTTTGAAGGGTAGTTCACATAATGTCTCGTAATTTCCATTTAATTTGGTTGTCAAATGGTTCATTAGTGCCAAGTTTTCAAAAAACTAGACATTTCAGATAGATTTCTATCTTTTCCCATCCTAGTTCAATTACCATATCCACATCGATTTTATTACAGCGTTGTCAATACGAAGTGGGCATATCTGGTTGATGAAGTGAGGGAAAAATGTTGGGTTTCTCAAGGATCATAAATCTATTGCAGACCTACACTTGATGAATATTTTCAGACATGGCCTGAAGACGCTCTATTGGCTGTAGCAACTAGATTTTTGGGAGAAATAGAACTAATCGACAGGGAACGTGAAGTCTGTATCGACATGTGTCAGATTTTCCATGTGTCGACTCAAGAATTATCTGCAGAGTTCTATTTGAGATTGAATCGTCATAGTTATGTCACGCCAACTTCATACTTGGAGATGATTAGTACTTTCAAGACGTTTCTCAGCAAGCGAAGGAAGTGAGTATTCCTCTACACATTCAAGTGTGTAGTCTTTTAGGTACCCATCGCAGAAATTCGTCCCATTATTGACAAATGTGGTAATGTGGCCTCTGTATACAAGTGTGGCAAAAGGAATCTTCTCATAGGACAACCATCTATTGAAGTTAATACGCATATAGAGAGATAAACAACGTGGCGACGTTGCCATCATACCTACTCAGCTTCGTTTTCAAAATACAGAGACTCAACTTCATCAGAAAAAAAACTTTTTCCAATTAATTACCCGAGACTATTCACGTTGATTCTGAGGAAACTTGTCATGATGAATATAATTTCGAGCCACTGATTTTCGTTAGTGTAGGTTATTATTAGGAATGAGATGAATGAATATGAATTTCATTGCCCTTTGGGACACCACTAAAATTGATAGTTATATCCCAATGGACACGACCACTTCTACAGCAGATGAGATTGACAAGTTCTATGTAAGTCAGTGAGAAGGATCTTGAGTAATTAATAGAAGCAAAATTTCTTCGATAAAATTGACTCTCAGTATATCGAAAACGGAACAAGTTGGAATAAATGTTTATGGAATGAAATAATTTCATTTGTCTAGGCTTGACTTTGACTCACCCTGTATATCAATTTTTGCGCGAAAAATCCTGAATGAGATGAATATTGAGAGCTCATACAAGTATAGGCCATAATAACTCACTCAAGACAAAATCTCCGAAAATAGAGCCGCATTGAAAAATTTTGAGGTGCATGGGAAATAGGAAATGTTTCATTTTTAATAGATGGAAGGATATGAGAAACATTATGCTTGAGTATAATGAAAAAAGATTTGAAAAATGATCAAAAATAATTTTCCATCAAATCGGGAGCATGACGAATTTTTCTATATTTCATCTACTCACTGCTTCGAAATTGAGTGTTTGCTTCCTAATTTGAGAACACAAATCTGTCAATACACCCCTACAGTAAAAAAAAATAACATTACCTTCCGTGGGAGGTAAAATGAATTGGCATCAGCTTGCTTCCTTTGGTAGAGATATACGTATAAGATCTGTGCTACCCATAGTGAAAGGAGAAGATAGTGTGCCTACGCGCATATTATGTGACGTCATCTGGGATACCAATATCAGCTTCTAGTCACAGACAGATACCGTTGCCATGGGCGTGCACAATGAATTCAATCATGTTTATTGAAATTTCTATGAGTTTCTTGATCTGTTTATAAATAATTCAATTTATATAAACAGGTACCTATTCCTTCGGTTTAACTATTTCATTGATTCTGGAAATTGTGATCTTGAGGTAATTCGCAATCGCAAATAGCAAATACATACGAATTATCATGTATTGACAATCCCATCTGAATGATCCACTACTGTGTCGATTCTGACAGATTCAAATTCAGCACTTAACGACGTTGACGTTGCTTCTGCTCCGACATCGACAACAGGAGTATCAGTTTTTGCCGTTTTGTTATTCGAATCTTTGCTGTAATTTATATTTCGTGAGGAATTAATAGTTTTGAATTCATTTTCAATTAATTCTGACTTGATATTGAGAAGATGTTCTGTAGGAATGGCATCTTGTTTCAGTTGTTTCAAATATTTGTGATTTTTTGTCAAGAACCGTACTTTCGCAGCTGTTTGGGAACATTTTGCATGGAAATAATTTGAAGTAATATGAATTTTGAGTTTATATTCTGTCGGCAGCAAGCTCCCATCGTTTCATTAGGTCTCCATTCTTGGAAAAGCAGAAAAATTCAAAATCTGTGCCTTTTGTATGTTAGTTGGAATTTCCATAACCAGAAACGAAACAAGTGGGCATTTCCAAATCATTTCATACAATTTCAGTACTTATAATATCTGAAGTTCGAGACATCAATCACGAAAACAAATAATAGCAATGACAGTTACATCCCAGCTGACGTCATGCGCAGAACAAATGGTTTGAGATTTCTGTTGAGCACACCATCTTCTCCTTTCACTATGGTGCTACCCAATCACCTAATCAGTATCCTCATCACTATTATATGAAACAAATAACAATTTCATTCTTGAACTCCAATGATCTCATATACCTCCTCATATTCCAAACTTTATCACTCGAAACTTTGAATAAAATGCAATTACACAACAAATTCAATGTGACAGAAGTGTCAAATTGATTTTCGTTCAGATTTGAATACTGTCTGTAACCTTAGATCATGTAACAAATAACACATTGATTCGGATCCATATACGTATTAATAATCAATACGGATAATCTCTATCTGTTTCCATAGCGAAACATGAAGCCGATTTTTGAAGACAAATGACTATCCATAAGGAAAAGTGAGATACGATCAGACACATACTGCTTTGATTGAAAGGCTAGTAAACGTCATTGTCCACCGAAACGCATGTCTTTGATGACTAGACAATAGCGCATGGCGCATGCGTATCATGCCACCAAATCCTTATGGATATTCATTTGTTTCATATTTTTGGCTCCATCCTGGCACCCGTTATGATCCGTATTGTTTATCAATACGTATATGTTCGGATCGGGACTCGAGTGATAGACCGCATGAAACACAATTTTACGAACGAAGCTCTCAAATTTATGCGTTGGTGAATGAAATCATAAATACAGGGTGTCCCGAAATTTCATTAAAAGATTCCAATCACGTATTCTAGGATCATAAATAGTAAAAAAGTTCATATGTCAGCTTGTATTTTCATCAGCGGTCTAGCTATCATATCGCCAATGGATTTCTCTCCAGAATAAGAAAAACCACATCCCAATTTGTTAAACTATCGCGGAAATTTTCAATGTTGAATTTGTTGCGAGAACGTGAGTTTATTTCCTGATACCAGACCTTTTTTCAACTGTTATTCATATTTTCATTCAATTTGAGCCTCAGTTTTCAAAGATCCATTCTAGCTTATTCCACCGACAAAGATTTCACTAAAATATCCTTCAGAGAAATCCTGAATCTCAAGAAACGGTACGAAGTGGGCCTGGAGAAACTCCAATCAGCCGGCGCCGAAGTATCAGTGATGCAGGCCAGTTTGGCGGCCTTGGAACCACAGCTGGTCATCGCCACCGCCAAAGTAGAGGAAACGATGAAAATCGTGGAGGCGGAGTCTGCGGAGGCGGCGGAGGTGGAGAAGACCGTCCAAGAGGACGAGGCGGTAGCCAACGAGCAAGCCAAAGCGGCGCAAGCCATCAAGGACGAATGCGACGCCGATTTGGCGGAAGCGATGCCCATTTTGAACGCCGCTTTGGCTGCGTTGAATACGCTCACGCAAGCGGATATCAGTTTGGTGAAGACCATGAAGAATCCGCCGAAGGGAGTGAAAGTCGTTATGGAAGCCGTTTGTATTTTGAAAGTGAGAGACGACGTTACAGGGTGATTCTTGTGGAGACTCGCATAGCCAAATGGTGAAGGTGATGTATGTATAGGGCGAGTCAAAAATGTGTACTAAACTTTTTGCAGGTGATAGTACATTGAAAAATTAGTATTGTTTGATGATTAATCGGATGGCCCAAAATGTGAATTGAGAGAGATATACAGGGTGTTTCAGATTTAAATGTACACACGATACCTGTAGATAGAGGACACTTTGGTGGTTCCAAATCATCCCCTATTAATGTGTCGACGGTCTTTTATAACTGAGATACAGGACGTTATCTTGATTTTGGCAAAATCTTCATGTGGTCATAACTTTTGAATCACTTTGTATAATCCATTTATACCTAGTAGGGATATTCCACCCATGTTACACAATGGAACTAATTAGAAATCGAAATCAGAATCCAGGTCCGTCTTCAGGAAAAACTGAACATTCATAATATTCAAAAAACAACACCCTGTATATCAAATATTTGTAGATCTGTATTGAAAAGGAATATTCTCAGATATATTATAAACATGAAAAAATGGATACATTTGAATAAATACATTGAGAATTCGCATTCTCTATGTGATGAAATTATTAATTCTTTCTCGGCATATTCAACAGAAAACAACTACTTTCCTGGCTATATGCCACGACGAACATTGAATTATATCAATTGAACATACACGATAGGAATTTGAGCATAAAATGAATATCGTCTGAAATTGAGAATTGACATTCTCTTCCAGAATCGGATGAATACTATGATGAATATAACGATATAAAAAATATATTACTTACCAAATTGGTATGAAAATTGGAATGTATGGGAGAAATATACTAGTATACATACTCTGTTCTTGTTGAGTCGTGAATTTATCAAAAATCATCCGTATCCATGATGTTTGGGATATATGCACATCTCTTTCACATAGGTTAGATGATTTTGATTCGAATAAAATTCATTTCGAGTTTCAAACTCTCCTCAGTAACCTGAAGTCCAGTCATTCCTTCAGCCATTCTTCATTTAATACACAATTTTCACATTTCTATAATAATATAACTAAAACTATAGTGGAACTGACATCTATCTGAGAATGAAAATTTGTTGACTTATCTCCAGTCATGTGGGTGGCAATTGTTTTAGATGTATGACAAACTGACATTTATCATACAGGGCGTGGAAAGAAATTCTGAATTGAGAAAAACCCAATCACGAATCTGCGATTGAAGGTCTATAAAAATAACAAGTTTCCATCGTTCAAGTTTGAACCCCTTGATTGGGTATGAAAGTATTGAAAAGGAATATTCTCAGATATATTATAAACATGAAAAAATGGATACATTTGAATAAATACATTGAGAATTCGCATTCTCTATGTGATGAAATTATTAATTCTTTCTCGGCATATTCAACAGAAAACAACTACTTTCCTGGCTATATGCCACGACGAACATTGAATTATATCAATTGAACATACACGATAGGAATTTGAGCATAAAATGAATATTGTTGTTGTTGTTGTTGTTCTTTATTACCCCAAGAAACATATTTGTTTATAATAGGGATACATAAACATATGATATATATATATATATATAAAACAATAAAAAAAAAACTAATTAACAAGTTATGTCAATATAACATAATAATTAAAATAAAACCATTCCAAGTATTCAAATGAGAATAAATTGCTCCGTTTATTGTGTCATGAGTATATATTTTTTCATATTGACTTTGAATCTTGTTTCATCATCAATATGTTTCAAATCATAAGGTAATGAATTATATAAAATGATTCCGTTGTAGAATACTGATTGTTTGCCAATGATGGAGTTATATGGGTTTGCTATTAATGAATTCAACTGTCTCGTTGCATGAGTATGAATTGTATTTACTTCAGTAAAGTTCAAGTTGGATATTTTTATTTTTTTTCTCACAAAATGGATGAAAGAACAAATTTTCATTTTATATAAAGATGATAAATTCAACAGATTTTTTGGTTTGTAAAGATTAATAGTTGGTTCCAGGTAATGTAAATTGTAAATGCACTTAATTGTTTTATTTTGTAATTTCATTAATGGTTTCAAATGTGATATACTTGTGCTTCCCCAAATTGATATTAAATATTGTAATTTTGAGTAAATCAGACAGAAATATATATTCTTCAAATACCTAAGAGGAATGAAATCTCGAATTTTGTATAAAATGCCAGTAATTGGATTGAGCTTTTTTCTCAGGTGATCTATATGTTTAGTCCACGATAATTGTTCATCAATATAAAGACCTAAGAATTTTGTAATATCTAAATATTTTATGGCTTTCTGGTTGAAAAATATTGTTGTTTTCGACATATCAGTTTTTCTTTTTGAAATATACATATACGTAGATTTGTCATAGTTAAGGGTCAGCTTATGAATTTGTAGCCAAGATGATATCATTTTCAAGTCACTTTTTATATCATCAACTATATCGTTAAATTCTTTAGAGGAATAGATTATTGTAGTATCATCTGCAAATAACTTCAGATCTCCTTTTAGTTTCAAAGATGATATTGAATTGATGTAAATTAAGAATAAAATTGGACCTAAAACGGAACCTTGTGGTACACCACATTTGATTTCTCTTAGGGAGCTACAAATATTATTGACTTCAACATACTGCTTTCTATTTTCCAGATAATTTTTTAACCAATCAAATATTTTTCCTCTTATACCTATTGAATATATTTTACTCAGTAAAATTTCATGATTTACAGTATCGAAAGCTTTACATAAATCTAAAGACAAGAGACCACATTTATAATTTTGATCAATTTTAAACTGAATATCCGAAATTACATCCATAACTGCTACCTCAGTGTCTTTCGATCGGCGAAATCCATATTGACCACTGTATAGCAGACCATTATTTTCAAGAAAATCAAGAATGCGCTTATTCATCATTTTTTCAATAATTTTTGAGAGGATCGGGAGAACTGAAATCGGTCTGTAGTTATTAAGGTCATCTCTTTTTCCAGATTTATGTATCGGTATGACTTTAGCAATTTTCATTTTATCTGGTACAATTCCAGTTTTGAAAGATATAGTAGCAACATACAATAAAATCGGAGCTAATTCTACTTTGATCACTTTTACAATTTTAGCAGATATTCCGTCGAATCCACAAGATTTTCGTACATCTAAGTCATCAATTATTTCTTCAACTTCTGAAATACTTGGCGGCATCAGAAACATAGATAGAACACTTGAACAGTCCTCCATAGACTGAGAATTTGTTGTTATTTTAGAAGATAAATTTGGACCTACATTTATAAAATGATTATTAATTTCATTACATATTTCATGACAATCGTCAATTTTCACATCATCCACTGAAATATATCTGATATTTTCTTTAGAATTTTTTGATTTATTAAATATAAGTGAATTGATTCCATTCCAAACCATTTTAGGATTGCTATTAGTAAAATGTATATTATAGAATTTCTTTTTTGTTTCTCTTATTGTTTTTTTTGCTAATCTATTGTAGAAATTATATTGTTCTTTAAAATAGTTGATATTGGGGTATGTTTTTTGTTTATAATGAAATTTATCACGTAATTTTATTATTTTACTAACATCACCATCAAACCATGGTTTGGAATTAGATTTTTGTCTGATTGTTTTAAAAAATGAACAATCATTGAAAATATTTAATAAATCTTCATATACCTCATTGGGATCATCATAGTTATTTACAGTATCATTGAATAATTCCAAGTTTGTTTTCAATTTCTCTATATCATATATATGAATTAGCTTGTTCACAAATTTCTTATTTTCCAAGATTTGTAGAGGTATGTACGTTAAATAAAATTTATGATCACTTAAAGAGTTGTTGATAACAATCAAGTCAAGATTTTTGTCTGTATTAGTGACGAAATGATCGAGTAATGATGAATGTCTAGTTGGAATACTTTCATTACAATTCAAAAAATTATTAGATCTATAAATGTCTATCAGATCTTCAGATTCCTTGCTGTTTGATAATAAATTGATGTTCATATCACCAAAGAAAAAGCATTCACATTTGAATCTATTGACTGTATCAAGTGTCCTATCCATGAAATTGAGGAAATCATTGATATTTATGTCTTGTGGTCGATAGATACCAGAAATGATAATTTCTGGAGATTTAATTTTGATGGATAAATATGTCAAATGAGTTTCTACTTTTTGAATAATTTCAAACTCAAATTTCGTATGAACAAAAATTCCAACACCACCTCCTCGTCTGAAATTGAGAATTGACATTCTCTTCCAGAATCGGATGAATACTATGATGAATATAACGATATAAAAAATATATTACTTACAATTGCCACCCACATGACTGGAGATAAGTCAACAAATTTTCATTCTCAGATAGATGTCAGTTCCACTATAGTTTTAGTTATATTATTATAGAAATGTGAAAATTGTGTATTAAATGAAGAATGGCTGAAGGAATGACTGGACTTCAGGTTACTGAGGAGAGTTTGAAACTCGAAATGAATTTTATTCGAATCAAAATCATCTAACCTATGTGAAAGAGATGTGCATATATCCCAAACATCATGGATACGGATGATTTTTGATAAATTCACGACTCAACAAGAACAGAGTATGTATACTAGTATATTTCTCCCATACATTCCAATTTTCATACCAATTTGGTAAGTAATATATTTTTTATATCGTTATATTCATCATAGTATTCATCCGATTCTGGAAGAGAATGTCAATTCTCAATTTCAGACGATATTCATTTTATGCTCAAATTCCTATCGTGTATGTTCAATTGATATAATTCAATGTTCGTCGTGGCATATAGCCAGGAAAGTAGTTGTTTTCTGTTGAATATGCCGAGAAAGAATTAATAATTTCATCACATAGAGAATGCGAATTCTCAATGTATTTATTCAAATGTATCCATTTTTTCATGTTTATAATATATCTGAGAATATTCC